AACAGCACTTCTGCTTCCTAGAGTCATACATGACTGTATGAAATAAAAGATGTGGTCCTGCTGTGAGGTTACCACCTAAGGCAATAAAAACAAAAGACTGGCCATGCTTCCTCAGGTAACCATCTCATACAGAGCAGGCTACTGAAAACGTTTCCACTAATAATGGCAAGCTTAGATAATTACATGTGGCTGAACAATCTCATACTGGGAAGTCATGGAAAACTGAGATGGGCAATCAGTCTTCTAAGGCAGACAGGCCTGAGCACACAAAGGATGCGAGTAATGAGTGGTACATTCTAACGTGCTCCTTAAAAAAAATGCGAAAGAACAAGTACTGGCAAGAAAGAATTTAAGTTCAAGAAAACAAGAGGAATCCAAGCAAGGATATCTTGCCAATTTACAACATACTGGGGGGAGCAGGAAGGCAGTGCTCTTACTAAGAGGACTAAAGATAACAATTGCCTTGAGTATCTAATGCGTATCTCTTTAGAATTGGTTTGTTTCATCCAAATAATGAAACACAGATCCAGAATTTATTTAAGAACAGAAAACAAAGCAAAGCTCTACTTTAGATGGTAGGTGTGCAAAATGTATTAGATGTACATTTAAATGTGTGGGTTAGGAAAAACACAAATCAGGATGCACAACATCACCTAAAAGCTTCTAATGGCATAAAGCATAAACAGGTTTTCAACTGAGCAACACAAATCTGTAATCTAAACCAAAGATATTAAACCAGGAACACTTAAAATGTCACTTCATTCTTTATTCTACCTGCCATTGTCCAACATTGGCTGTCATTACCAGCACCTTCCCAGCACAGACAGAATGCATACCAGTAGAAATAAATGCTGTGGTAGCCTATCAGGCAAGCTGAAATTAAGAAAGGGGGCATGGATAGTACCCAAACCACTCCCCCCTTGCAGTCCAAACACAGTCCCAGCTGTGGAGTCTATCAGAGCTACACTTAGAAGCATTGGGGGATTCAGGAGTTCCGCTTTAGGAAAGACTAAGTTTATGCCTTTTAAACAAGGGGAATTAAAACCAAAAAACCTCTGCACACCGAAGTAGTAAGTGGAAGGCTATTTAAGCCTGTGTCCTGATGAACAACCACCAGGGTAAGGCACTTGGCTAACAAAGCTTTTCATTTTTAAATCACCACTAGGATTGCTACTCAGTAGCTGAAAACATCAGCAAAATGCAGCTGATAGAAGGATATGCAACTTTCAGACTCACAGAGGTAACTCCATCACCAGACTCACAGAGGTAACTCCATCACCACAAACACACCCTGTCAGAAAGTACACACATTACAGACTTCTTCACTTTATCGGTTTTGTTCCATACATGCAATTTAATTTACAGGTTGTGACCCTCAGAAGCACCAAACTGAAGCCTAGTTCCCAATGCCACTGATTTAGCAAAATCAGCATCACCACAAACACACCTGATTGCTTTCAATATCCTTCCTCCTCCCCTGCTATCCCACCTTCACAAGCCAAATTACATCATACAGTAACACAAAAGAGAACCCACAGATTCCAAGCTGATTTAAACTATATCAATGAAGACAAATTTAGACTTACTAGCTTTCCAGAGACATTCACACTGTTTCTCTTTTCAGCCTTTAAGAGTGTGTCTAGAAAGCAAGTGAATTCCTCAGAATGCTCTTCTACATTCCTAATGTGATCATCTGATGGAATGTAATTGTATCCAAGCGAAGCTGATCTTGAATCCAACTGCTTTTAAGCTGCTTAAGCCTCTTTCATCACAAAGAGGCAGAAATGGAGTTTGCAGTTTGTGAATGACAATCACTAACCACCCGTTGAGTGTTTCCAATAAGCATATAGCAATAAAGAAAATTAAACCTTCTGAGCACAATCTTAGTATTTGGGTATATGCTACCAGTGAAGTGAGTGGTCTGAAGAGCAGACACAGTGATAAAGGATTCTGCTCTATATGAGGAAGGCACTCTGGTATGCCTGTTTGGTTTAGCAACTTTATTCAGGAGAACACCAATGTTATTATTGATATTTTTTCCCTGTTAATGAAAAGTCTGCAGAAAAAAAAGCTTTGTTAAGCCATCTCATTTGATTTCAAGTATAACAGCATCCCCACACCATCATGAGCATTAAAAGCACCAATGTAATTGAAACTGTTCTAATAAAATTAATCCTCCATTGCAAAAAGGCAAATAAAGCGAATTCTGCCACCTGTTGTCTAAAAGCATGCACTGACTTTGATTTCCAATTCCATTAAGTGACCTCCAAGCACCTGACAGCTCATCAGCTGACACAAACCTTACGTAGCATAAGAAATGCTTTATAAAAGAAAAAAATGCTTAAACGTCTAGAATTCAGTATTTTTACACCTAGATATGGACAAAAGGCTTTGAAAAGGCTACGAAAAGAAAAAACTAATCTTTCTATTCTTATGCTTCATTCTCTTTTCTAAATTCTAAAGAATTAAATGTTAACAACACTTCATACAGAAAACTGTCACATCCATTTCCAAATTCTTGGTATATGCAGTTAGGCACAATTATTTTTACCCTTCGTGTACTTCATTCAAACACTGACATTTTAGACACTCAGCATCTACTAGGAAGTTTTATGAACAGAAAGCAACTGGTAGTTTATTTACCACACTGTCATCCATATATCAGTATGTTTTATCATACCATTCCATTCTCACTCCTGAGGATGGTTTATACAGGTACATTAATACCTTAGTAACAAGAACACAGTGCTTACAGTATGACGCTTTCCCCCTCATCATCACAGGTTTTGGATACTTTGAAACTTGCAAATTTTACTTGAAATCAGAGAAAGAGGCTGCACTGCTCATGGCAATGTACATAAACTTACTTGGAAAAGATGACCATGAGCTTCTTCCTATTTCTTCTGGGTTCCGAGTCTTCCTCGAACTCTTCCATCTCTTTTCCTAGGAAAACTTCTTGATGAAATTCCTTGTTAAGGTGTCCATCCATCTCCATTTTGACCCCGTTCAAGTGATCTGGGGGCAAGATCTCATTCTCATCTTTGCTGTCAGCTGGCTTTTCTTTGAGGGCTGAATTATTTGCAGGCCTTGCGTAAACATCCATGAGGAGAAATACAAACAGAAGGGACAAATACAGAGATCCCAAACCGCAGAGAAAGGCCTGTCTTGACATCATTTTTTTTTTTCCCTTTCAATTCAAAGTACTGGCTGGTTAAATTTCTGTGAATGGATTAAACAATCTAAAAACAAAAAGGAAAAAGCACATGCAAATTCAACTCATTAATAAAACTTCTAAAATTCAGAATCTATACACACATTTAATACAAAAGAACTAAAAACGCTGTTAAATAATAAATACGCAACAAGAGATTAATTGTGCTTGTTTTCAGTCTGGACAATTGTAACCTCTGTCAGAGAACCACAACAAAGATGGAGGGGGGACTTTTGACTAGGGCCTGTAGGGATAGGACAAGTGGGTTTTAAACTGATAGAGGGGAGATGTGGATTAAGCATTAGGAAGAAATGCTTCCCTGTTCAAGGCCAGGTTGGACACAGGGGCTTGGAGCAAGCTGCTCTAGTGGAAGGGGTCCCTGCCTGTGGCAGAGGGTAGAACTGGACGAGCTTTAAGCTCCCTCCCAACACAAACCATTCCATGAATTTGGAAAGGCTGAGAGACACAGGGTTACAACTGCCATCGCATGAAGGGGAGCTGGAAACACACAGGAAACAGCCGGCAGGAAAAAGCAACCAAAGGGGCGGACCTGTCATGCCCTGCTTGCCGGCGTCTGAAAACCTCTGCCACAGAAGAGCTCGCAGACACAGAGACAGGACCCCATTAGCGCGCTGAGGAGCACAGAACTCCCACAGCCGCGAGGCCCAGTCCCGGGACAGGGAAAACCCACCCGGCCCGCGGGCAGGAGCCACAGACGGGGAAGGGGAGCCTGGCACGCACTCACCGAGAGCTCCGGGTGCCTTTTTCCTGCAGGAGGGGGAAGCAGCCTCCAAGAAGCGCGACGGAACGGCCCCGGCCTCGCAGCCCCGGCGGCTCCGCTCGGAACGACCCCGATCCCGCTCCCGCCCAACAAGCACGGCCTGAGGGAGCGGGAGGGGGGGCACTGGGGCTGGGCGGGAACTACGTCAGAACGCCGCGCGTGCGTGAGGGAAGGCGAGCGGCCATCTTGGAGCAGGGCAGAAAGCGCTCTGAGGTGAGGCAGCCGCCATTTTCCCTCACGGCGGGCCCGGTGAGGGGAGGAGGCAGAACTCGCTGGGTGCTGAAGAGCTGAAGGTACTTCCTCACATGGAATCAAATGGGTTGGAAAAGACGTTGATCAAGTCCAACCGTTCGCAGCACTGCCAAGGCCACCACTGACGGCCTCGTCTACACAGGGTGTGAACACTTCAGGGATGGTGGCTCCACCAGTGCCCTGGGCAGCCTGTTCTAATGCCTGAGCGCCTTTTTGGGAAGGAATTGTGCCTCAGCTCCATCTAAACCTGCAGCTTGAGGCAATTTTTTTCTTGTCTATTACTTGTTACTGGAAAGACCAGTGTCTCATCACTACAACCTCCTTTCAGGCAGTTGAGGAAAGCAGTATGATCCTGAGCCTTCTCCAGCCTAAACTCCACAGTTCCCTCAGCTGTTCCTCGCCGTTGTGCTCTAGGCCTTTCACCACCTTTGTTGCCCTTCTATGGACCTGCTCCAGTGCTGAAGACATCCTCTCCAAAGCTACCTCAGCAAATCATGCTCCTTTTTACCTCAACAATAAAGGGGAACTCCACACGTTATAATTCCCTGTCAGGCCGCTTTTCCCTGACCATATATTCATCTCCAGCTCTGCACTAATTTCTCACCTGTTTTCCTTGGGAGCCCTTAAATTACTGCTTTCTGTACGTAACGCGGTACTCGCAATTCTTATGGAATAAGAACGCTAGCTAACACATGACTCCTTTCACAAGACTATGTGCTAACTGTGCCGCAACGAGCACCACCTCTGCTCCCCTGCCCACCACAGCGCGCCCGGAGCCGCAATGGCACCGCCTTGGCTTCAGCTGCCCTGCTTCAAGATGGCCGCCGCAAGGCGCCACCGTCTATGGTCAGGTGGTGCTGGACGCGGCCACGCCTCCTGCTCCTTCCCGTACCAGGCCAGCGGCGAGCGGAGCGGCGGCGGCTGCACACAGCGAGTCCCGGCGGGAGGCCCAGCAGGTACGCGGGAGCTGAACTGGTCCTGTCCCGGCGCTTCCCCGAGGAGAAGCAGGCCGGAGGCATGAAACCACCTCTGAGGCACGGCGAAGCGCGGTGAGGGTTCCCGCAGGAAGCTTGTCCCCTCTCGGCGGCCGTACGCCACTCCAGCCCCCGGGGCTGGGCCTTCTGCCGTTCCCGCCTAAACCTTGGCGACGGGGCCTGGAAAGGAGGTCGAGGCCCCGCGGCCATGAAGCCGCTGCGGCTGCTGTGCCGCCACAAGACGGCCCTGGGCCTGGGCGGGCTCTCGCTCTTCGCCGTGGTCCTGCTCTACTTGGCCAAGTGCACCTCTGAGGGCCTCCGTCCTCTGGCAGCCCCCCGCGGGCTCCCACACAACCAGCCAGCGGCCCTGCCTCCCCGGGGTGCCCGGGGCCCGCACGCCCCCGCAGCCCCGCCACCCTCCCCTCAGGAGACCGCCTTCGTGGCCGTGCTCATCACCAGTGGCCCCAAGTACAGCGAGCGGCGCAGCATCATCCGCAGCACGTGGCTCTCCGGCACCGGGCGCCCACCTCACGATGATGTCTGGAGCCGCTTCGTCATCGGCACAGCGGGGCTCGGGGCAGAGGAGATCCGTAGCCTGGAGCTGGAACAGAGCCGGCACAGAGACCTTCTCCTCCTGCCGGAGCTGCGGGATTCCTACGAGAACCTGACTGCTAAAGTCCTGGCCACGTATGTCTGGCTGGATCTGCACCTGGACTTTCAGTTTGCCCTGAAGGCCGATGACGATACCTTTGTCCGCTTGGATGTGCTTGTGGAAGAGCTGAGAGCCAAGGAGCCACGTCGCCTCTACTGGGGCTTCTTTTCCGGCCGTGGTCGAGTGAAATCTGGTGGCAAATGGAAGGAGAGTGCCTGGGTGCTCTGTGACTACTACCTACCCTATGCTCTGGGTGGTGGTTATGTGATTTCTGCCGATCTGGTGCACTACTTGCGTATTAGCAGGGACTACCTGAACATGTGGCAGAGTGAAGATGTCTCCTTGGGCGTGTGGCTGGCTCCCATTGATGTGAAGAGAGTGCACGACCCTCGCTTTGACACTGAGTATAAGTCACGGGGTTGCAACAATAAGTACATAGTAACTCATAAGCAAAGCATCGAGGACATGCTGGAAAAGCACCAGACCCTGGCTAAAGAAGGAAAGCTCTGTAAGGAGGAGGTTAAGCTCAGGCTTTCCTACATGTATGACTGGGGAGTGCCTCCTTCACAGTGTTGCCAAAGGAAGGATGGTATCCCTTGAAAGGCTGAGGAAGGAGAAGGCAGAATGTTGGTGGACTCTTGGTTACTGTTGGGGAGAATCCCAGTAACTAGGGCTTAAAGATTACTCTAAAGATTTTGCACGTTTCATTATGTCACAATCAATGAAACCCTGAAACTCCTAAGAGCTACTGATGTGGGATGATGCAGAGATGCTTAAAAGAAAAGAAATAGATGACAAAAAGCATGGAAAGGCTCAGATGACAGGATTGAAGGCAAGTAACAGGTTGCAAAATTTGGATAGTACAGAAAGTTTGGGGGGGGGGGATAACTTGAATGAAAAGTTGCTGGAAGATTTATTTGCTAAAGATCATGACAGGCCTTTATGCCGGCTATAAGATTGTCAAACTAGCATCTGCTGTTTATTTCTTGGCAAGGACAAAGTGGCAGCTTGGCAAGGTTTGAAGGGTCTAGTGGGGCTGCAAATTAGCTGCTAATGCCAATGAGAGCAGGTGGCTGGTTATTGACACAAGCAGTCCAGTGAAGGGAACAATTTTATGGAGGATATTTGTGTTAGGGGAGGGAGAAAGCCTCTTTCTCTGGCCAGTGCTCCAGTTTACAAGAATGGCATTATTAGACCTGTATAACTTGTCTTTAAGCTTTTTGTTGTTTTAAAGAAATCATGTATATAAATTACCTGGCAGCTACAGGGTAAGTCAATATTTAGGAAGGTGGATGAGTTATGGTGTTTGGCAGATACAGAACATATTATCTTATTTTGGGGGCAAATAGTTATGCTATGAAGCTAGCCTTGTTAGACATAGATGTTTTTTTGCGTATCCTCCTGTATATGAAGAAACATTTCCTCTCCCACAGTAATCTCACTGATGACTACAAGGTCAGACATTGTAGGCTTCAGCTTTATGTTGTTCTGAGTTACTTCTGTAAAGTGTAAATTAGCAGGATTAGATCAGTGGAAGCTATTCAGAGTTCAGACAGGTGTGCCCTGACATGGGTACTTCAGCTAAGAAAGTAAACTGTGTGTAGTCAAGAGAAATTGGTTCCCCCACCACCCAAATTCCTGTTTGGAATTTGTACAATTGCAATTGTACATTGCAATCTAAGGAGAATAATCCAACAGCACCAACAACAGACACCTGTACATGCTCAAAGCTCAACTCTATGAATTCCCTCCTCTCCAACAGCACTTAGTGGAACTAAAAATAATATCACATGAGGTCTGAGTGCTCAACTGACCCATCAATAAAGGGGATCATGACCCTTAGTCCTGTCTACACTACAAGTAATTCTTGTACTGACAGAGCTGGTCAGTATCAGATCCAGTGCTGGACAGTAAATGCAGACAGGACAATCACACAATCTCACCATGTTACTTATCTTCAAACCCTGCTTATCATTCAAACATTTTTGAATGGCAGGTGCTCCAATACACAGAAATCCTTTGTTTTCCAGCATTAGTACAGAGCAACTGACTTCCAGTAACCTTTGTCAGCATCAGATCTTTCAGTGTAAGCAGAGTTTTCACTTTTATGCCTTAAGGGCATTCTTAATGATCAGTTTTACTGTTTGTTGCACACTGCACTTTGACACAATTCCGTTTTCTCCTCCCCCAAGGTCGTGTCTGCAGTAAGACACTAATTGAGGAATAATTAAAAGGAAAAGGGTGCTAATATCTCTCTAATAAATTAGCAAGTTAGCAACTCATACCAAAGGAATCAAGTATGAGGGGTTTTGTTACTCTTCTCTTGGTTTGATCCAATTATTGACGATTAAGGAAAGTTTTCTGCAGAGGATAATTCTCTATGTTGAAAACTGGAACAATTCTTTGACTTCTTTCCAAAACAAATTAAGTTACTGAAGAAAAAGTAAGTTATTTTAGCATGTGTCCATTCTAATGCATGCTTAATTATTGAGCTAAGCAGATGTGCTTTGCAGCAAGGTATGCTATTCCAAAACAAGAATTTAACAAGATTACAGGAAACTTCCATTGATTTTTAGCATTAAGAACAAAAATACCTATTTGCCATTTGGGGTTCACTAGTATTGTGTGTATATATATGTGATTAAATGCTTGTAATGTGAGTATTTATTTATAATTATTGAAAATGCATTCTGTATAGGAAAAATAGGATAGATAAACATAATTTTAAATTTAAGGAAGTACTGTTACGTCCAGGAGTTTTACATATCAAGCAGTGCTTGAATTTATTGGTGTACAAGCCATTATTTAAAGTACTGGGATCTGAACTGCAGATCAGAATCTGCTGCATGTCTCTGGAGCTAGTAGAATGTACCATTTCTCCATTTCCATCAAGAACTGTGCTCACAGAAGCTGTTTACATTGTTGACTTTGACTCCCCCAGCCCACAATTCCCATCTTCACTCAGAGAAAAAATGGTTTTCATAGCTAGCAGAATTAATGGGAGAGAAATGCTGGATCTCCAGCTGATATTTGACCCCATGGAAAACACTGTGCATATAAATACCTACTAGTTAAGAAATCCTCTTGCATCAGAACTAATGTGCACCCTAAAATACATAGCTGATCTCAACAGCAGCACAGCATATTGCTTCCCCAGTTTAAGTGATTGCACAGTTTAAGTGATGGGGACCACTCTTACATCTCGGTCTGACACAGATGCGTTATACCATTTTCTGTTTAAGGTTACCCATGTTTTGTTCTAACTGTAGAACCCTAAATTCATGGAACAGTTTGTGTTGGAAGGGAGCTTAAAGCTCATATAGTTCCAACCCCTGCCACGGGCAGGGACACCTTCCATTGGACCAGGTTGCTCCAAGCCCCTGTGTCCAACCTGGCCTTGAACACTGCCAGGGATGGGGCAGCCACAGCTTCTCTGGGCACCCTGTGCCAGCGTCTCAGCACCCTCACAGGGAAGAGCTTCTGCCTAAGAGCTCAGCTCAGTCTCCCCTCTGGCAGCTTAAAGCAACTCCCCTTGTCCTGTCACTATTTCCTCTTATAAAGAGTTGCAAAACATATTAATGTGGAAAACGTGACAGATCCGTGTCCTTTGATAAATGGCTTTAATTTTCTTAATAGACACCTCCCTTTCTACAAATAAAGCACTTAGATTTCAGTCCCACTCAACTAAAAAATGTAAAAGTTTAAGTTTTTAGACTTTTTTCCTATGTTAAAAATAACTTGAAACGTGGAAGAAAACAGACACCCCACGTGTTCTGTGGCAAAACCGTGAAAAACATTAACTATTACAGGATTATTATTTTATACATATTTTACTAGCAAGTATTTGCATGTGAAAGACCTGTGAGTGTTATTTTGGGTAATGAAGAAACATCTGTGCATTGCATGAGAGAGTCACTAAAGTTTGAAAACAAGGTTTCAGTCCAAACTTCATTTCTGAGCCCATTTTGCCTAAGGGAAAATCTGAAGCACATTTTGAACTACATATGTATAGTGTATATTAAACGTAGTAATTAAAGGCTGTGTTCATACCTGCTCAGTACTAGATTCCATGATAGCATCTCAGAAGTTTAATATATGATGTTTTTATACTTGAAAACTATCTTTATGTCTCTTGAAAGTCAGAAGGAGGAGCTTAACTTCAGTGAGCCCAGTATCTAAAAAGATGTCTTAATGCTGCTGAGAAATAAGCAGGTTTTGGTCTTTATAGCAGCTATATTAGCTTGGAAAGTTGTCTTGTTGGCCTTAGTGAAATAAGATTACCCAGGAAGGAATTTACCTTTTTTCTTGTAGCTATTCTCAGTGGCAAGAGGTTAGTTTTTTGTTGGGCTTGTTACTTCTTTAAGTAGTATTTTTTCTGGTTTACAAGTTTTTTCTCCAGAAATACTTTGCATTTTTAATATTAATATGGGGAAAATGATCACTTTGGCTTTTCTGGAGGTTAACGTGTTACATGTTGTAAGTTAAGCTTACGTAGACTTGACACAGTTGCCTGTGTTGGCATCCGTTCTTGATCTGTGACACACCTAAGCCTTTTGTTATCATTTACAGACTCATTCCACAAAGCTGGTAGGTACAATAGAGAAGTTAATGGTTCATGACATGCCTTTGCTGTGATCATATCTAAGAGACTTGATACTGGAATATTTAAAGCTGACAATGCATAAACTCAACTAGAAAGTTGGTTTTATTTTCCAGTGATTTTAATGTTATGTGTGTAAAAATAAGCAGCTAAACCATCAATTGCCATAGTAAATAGACAAATAGTTCCATTTAAACCCTCAAGCTTCCAAGAATTCCTATGGTCAGCTAAAGACTTAAAAAACAAACCCAACTTAGAAATGACTATTCCTGTAAGCAAACACTTTCCTTTCTGAATGTCTAGCCTTGTTCATTGGAAGTTTGCTCAAATACAGCTTCTGCGTGTCATACTTTTAACAAGCATTCCACTTTCTGGAGTTGAAATGCCTCGTTTTTGAGCATTTTGGTTTGTATTTCGTACCTGTTAACACCAGTATTTTGGGGGCCATAAAATAAAAGCCCAGCAGCATGGGAAGGCCGTTTAAGACTTGCTTTTCTAATAGTTTCTGTTCAGCTCAGCTCCAGCATCAGAGTCGAAATATGGTTTTGATATTGCTGTGTGCTTGACAAGATGTCAACACCTTCACTACTGAACGTGCTGCCTGTTGCTACATATTGACTTGTGTAAGATGCTTTTACCTTGGAACTGGAACTACTTTATGCCAACATAATACACCAGTTATTTCTTTCTAATACTACTTAGTTAATGTCTAGTAAAACTTGGGAACAGATTCATTTGGTACTTGTAGCCTGTTTGAAGCTGAAGGATACTACATCCGTGTGCCTTTATGAACCAGAAGTAGCATGGGGTACTGTGCTGAGTATGTTTTAAGCAGTTGAATGAAATTGCACATGTTTTTGCAGCCACAACTTTCCCATTTGGGGGTGGAGTGTGGCACACAGCTTATTTGCTGGGTGTTTCTATAGGAAATAAACTGCTCGAAACCTGAAGCTCTCTGTGATGATGAAAACTCTTGGTTATTGCCTAAGTGTGTTGTGTATGTATTTATGTCCTTTCATGTATGCCTTTATTGGCTAAAGGATGTGTGCTGTGAGTTTTAATAAAAGACTTTTGCTGTATAGGTGATGGCTTGTGCTGTGTAGGAAAAGAGACAAGTGTGGTTATTTTCAGTTTGTTATGCCACTGGGAGGCACAGAGCATTGGCTCCTTCTTAAGCAACTGCCCAAAAATGCTTAAGTCGAGGTCAGTAATAGTGATGAATCAGCATGCCAGAGCCCTGCACGAGCTGCTGGCCCAGAAATGATGCCATGGTCACACATACACAGAAATAAATGTGCTGATCATCCAGGTTTTACGTTAGTTGCAGTATAGAGGCATGACTTCAATTGTAATGCACTCAGAAGAAGGGTTTCTCTAGCTAAAAATCACATTGATTCTGGTCTTAGCCAAGAAGTATTTTAAGCAGTTGGACATCCATTAACACTATTGGCTATAGTCCCATTTGATGTAAAAAACCCCAAACCCAAATACTAGCAATATTCTGACAGAGAACTGAAAATATTTTCAATGTAACATTTGCTCAAATCATGTCAACACTTGAGGCAGTTTGAACAGTGCTAGCTTTCTGCTGGTGGAGTAGGTAGTCCATTCTCTTTAATGTGTGTTCTTGCTGCTTCTGCCAGACTCTTGGAAGCATATTTTGGGCTCCAGCCCAGATAAACACCTCTGGTTTTAGCTAAACAAACTGATCTGTTTGAACCCAGGAGCACAAGATGGCACTGAGCAAGTTGTTACTTTGCATCAGAAACGTTCTGGTTCTCACC